ACACCTATAATACAGATAACATATCACAATTAGTATACTATTATAACAATGACATGTAAATAACTCTAAATAACCAAACTGTTTACCTATAATACAGATAACATATCATAATTAGTATACTATTATAACAATGACATGTAAATAACTATAAATAACCAAACTGTTTACCTATAATACAGATAACATATCACAATTAGTATACTATTATAACAATGACATGTAAATAACTATAAATAACCAAACTGTTTACCTATAATACAGATAACATATCACAATTAGTATACTATTATAACAATGACATGTAAATAACTCCAAATAACCAAACTGTTTACCTATAATACAGATAACATATCACAATTAACGTATTATTATAACAAAAGCCTCTGGTGACGTTACTCCATTGTTCTGGTGGGATTTTATATCTCATAAAATTCCAGGGGTGTTATATATAAAATCTCGAAGATTTCAAATATTACATATAAATTCGCTGGAGATTTCAGATATTACATTATGCCAAGTTATGACAAATTTTTATACGCCCACATGAAATGGGGGGCGTATATTGCCGTCACCCATGTCCGTCCGTCGGTCCGTACGTCGGTCCGTCCGTCCGTCCGTCCACAATTGTTGGTAACCACAATTCTTGACTGATTTTGACAATTTTGACAATCACCCAAGGATGGACCCTATTGAAAATCAGAAGAATCGAAAAATATCTAGTATAAGTTATTGCCCTGGTTCTTGAAAACGCGTTCAATTTTTAGCTCGTAAACACTCTAGACCCGCCAGAAAAATTTCTTTTTTTTTTTTTTTTTTTTTTTTTTTTATTCATGTAAAACCATTATCATCAATTTAATAATCAATTCAATGTATAGAATGCATCTCTTTTCAAAACTTGATTAAATATTGACATTGATTTTTGTTCATGAATAATTCATTACATAATTATTCAAATTAAGACAAAATGAATACTGTATACCACACAAAAATGTACTGATGGTCAAACTGGAATAGTCTAATAGAGCTCACAGAATGAAGCTCTGATAACAAAATGTTTTACTTTCTGATACTTCTAAAACTAAACTTCTTAATTTACTTCTTAAAAAGTTCATAAACATTTTCTTAGACCATTAAATTTGATATCATCTAAAAATCTGTGCATTTATGCCATCTCTTCTATAGGGCCTATTGATGTATTGTTTTTCAATAAAGTGAAATCTGTCTACACAGAGA